AAGTTTTAATATATTTACAGAAGGAAATTTACAAACTGTCTTCATGGAACATGATCTTTACTTAGTGTCCTAATGATTTTTGGCATAAAATAAAAATCTATAATTTTAACCCATTTGGCTATTGCTACAAATATACCCCAGCGACTTAAGACTTTTGTGGTCCAGGGTCACATATATATGATTTAGAATTAGTATGCTGTCTTGGGTTGACGGGTTCAACTACATAACAATAATTTAGCAGCTTGGATGAGGCAGGTGATTTGAGGTCAACTCAGTACACTGATGGCAGTGCCATCTCCCTGCAGCGAGTGTGGATAAACTCAACTGGGTTTCTTTGTCTCTAACAGAACAACAGTGTCGGGCGGGGCGTTGGCTCGGTCTGCGGTGAAGTAATTTGATAAAACAAACTCCGACCGTGGCAGTAACGGAGGACAGAACGAGTGACTTCAGATAAGGCTTGTTTATTTGGGCCAGCGATGTGGGAACAAGGATGCACTTGCGATGCCCTTAGTGACATGACCACACTCTCAGACCTCTAAACGGCGAGGGCTTGACCGAGGGTTTGGATGTCTGAGTATGTGTGTGTTAGGAGTCTAGAGTGCTTTCTATAACCTATTTGATGTTTCCACCGAGAGAAAAATGTCAAAATGACAGGCCAATCAAACCTGCACTTAAAATCCTGACTGAGCACTTAAATCCTCCTAGACACACGAAAAGCAAAACAGATCTAAGAAAGATTATCGTGACAGTCTTCATAATAAAGATTATTTTTATTTATTTTTATATTACCATTTTCAAGTCAATATGAAACCTAATTTTCTACCTACCTAATTTTTCGTAATGTGATGCTTTTCAGAGTAAAACATGATTATGTATGAAACTTTTATGAACAATAAAACCTAAAAAAATATAAAAATTAAGGAAGTCAAATTCAATGTCCTATTGAATGTAAACAAAGACGGATAAATTGCATAGGCTGTTTATGTACTTGGTTAACAGGATAATAATAATAACAACAACAACACATAAATAAATAAATAAATCTAAAATTAATTTAAAAAATACATAATTATATATAGTAATTAATTATATTAGAAATATTAATAATAGTCTTGCTGTGCAAAAAAAATTTAAAATAAAGATAAAAATACAAATTTAATAAAGGTCCAAAAACAACATACTGACAATTGTATAACTAACTAACATCACCTCACCTAGACAGATTTACGCATTAGTGTTTCACGAGTGCAATGACATATGTGTGCATTCATAATTTATCAGATTTATGATTATTAGGCACGGCTGATGAACCGTGCTCACTGACGCATGGAAACATGTCAAAGTGGAGTCACTCCACTTTCCACTATCCCAGATGGTCCCCCAGACCCTCATCTTCCTCACACTCGCGCACACACACACACGCACACACACACAGTTTTGCTTTTCATCTCCCTCCCCCATCTCTTTCATCCGCTCTCTCTCGCCTTCTCCGAGGCACACATGGCTTTGACACATTGTTTGTGGTCACCGGGCTGGTTTGGCAATTAGTAGCCATAATCTGATCTTGCTGATATAGGCTCAAGGAGAGGCTAATACACACAAATCTACCACAGCAAACACACTTTAAACCACAAAGGCCAATTGCCTTTCAATTAGCCACTAAAGAAGGGATCACTAACCCCGTTCCCTCCATCTGCCGCCTTCAGACACACTTCAACTTGAACATGGGGGGAAAAACTCTCCTAAATGTATTTCTACAATGCTTTTGTCTGTTCTGTATGGCTGGAATCTAAATCAGACACATTAGAGCTTGCGCAGACATCATTTAGTGCTGACTGTCTGAGGTAAATCATAGAGCGTTTTAGCTTTTATGATGCAAAAAAAGCATGCACGCTTAAGCAAAATGAGTTAGGGAGCAGCAGAGGGTTGCAAATAAAACTGTGTGTGAACTATACACAGACTTACGCAATACCTGTATGAGTGTTATCAGACAGAAAGACAAGCAAACAGGTTGTGTGATGGATGGAATTGGACAGGCAGTGGAGATGGAAACAAATAGACAATCCCTTCATGTTGGCTGTGTGTTCATTACTGATCTGGAGAAAGTATTTAAGAGTAAACTGCGTTATAAAAAGTCAGTGCATAGGTAATTTTCACTGCCCAAAATCACACTAAACCAAAAGATTCAACCGGTCAGAAAAAAAAAATAAAAATGTCTCTAAGAAAACACTTAAACTGTCAAGAAAAGACAGAAAATTACATTTGTAAGCCTTTCAGATCATTCTGCATAGAACATATTCGTTTTAAGATTACCAAGTATCCTAAATGTTGTTACTATGCAGCTGGTAGACCATTTTGAACCAGCTTAAGGTGGGCACGCTGGTTTCTCTGGTCCTAACTGAAAATTAGCCAGTCCAAGGTGGTCAATAGCTGTTCCAATCTAGAAGACCATCCTGGTCCTAACTGAAAATTAGCCAGTCCAAGGTGGTCATTAGCTGTTCCAATCTAGAAGACCATCTTGGACCAGCAACATACCAGCTTAAGCTGATCATAAAATGACCCGCTCCAATGTTCTTAACCACAGTTACCATGTTAAAATCCAGCAGGGTTTTTAAGTAATCCAACCATTCATTCCGCAACATTGAGCACCCCGACCATCCCGCGTCTGTCTAAAAAACCACAGAAACTCCTTCCCAACTCCGTTGGATGCCAAAGAGATCTCTTTCTATACTCAACTTAGTCCTCGCGAATAAATCCCAGCGCAATTCTCCGCTACGAGACATTCACCTGTCAAACCTGAAGCGCGCCGCGCGTAACGCACTCCACGGAGCGCTTCAAAGAGAGACAAACATCCACATATTTACCTTCCAACGCGAAAACGGCCGTTACAGCACACAAAACCGTTATTAATCCCACAGTCATGGTAAAAGGCATTGGCCGCTGTCGCGGTGTCCCCTTGAATTTGGAAAACTGGACGGCTTGGCGTGCGCGTAAAATCCGTCACTTGTCACGCAGGGTGATATTCCAGCGAGCGAGCGGCGTGGAGTCACATCGCAGGCAGTAGTAAAAGAGTGAGTGGATGCTGCCACGGACTCGGAGCGCAGGGATGAGAGCTTGGGAGACGGACCCCCCCGAAACCCCCTTTAAAACCTATGGACCAATCAGAGACTGCACACCGAAAACCGCCAACCAATAACAGACCTCCTTACAACATGCATTGTTATTCAAAACAAAAACTTTTCAATGTTTCTCTATGAGGTGAAATACGCGTTCGGTTGGAAGGGAAATAGCGACCTCAGATGGACAAAACGGAACTTCACCAGTGGAAATCACTTCAGCTTTTTTAACAAATAGGCATCATTCTAAATTAAGTCAAAATTACAAGCAATAGTTTGACTATTTTAAAGTTAAACTGAGGAGGTGACATTAAAATAAATCTTTTTTTTTTTTTTAATGTATTTATTTGACACAAATGTGGTATATAAAGCAATACAATAACAGTTTGTAATAAATAGTAGTTTCATATGCATATTTGTTTCATAAAACATTTACATGTATGCATTTAGCAGACGCTTTTATCCAAAGCGACTTAAAAATGAGGACAACAGAAGCAATCAAAACCAACAAAAAAGCAATAATATGTAAGTGCTGTGACAAGTCTTGGTTGCCTAACGCAGTACAAGTTTTTTTTTTTTTTCTTATCATAAATAAAAAGAAAACAAGTAGATAGAATAGAAAAAGAATAGAGAATGTTAGTGTTGGAGGGTCTCTTTTTTCTTTTCTTTTTTTTACAAAGAAAGAAAAGTCGAAAGAATTGAGAATGTTAGTGTTAGATGGTCATTTTTTTTAATAAAACGAAAACAAGTACATTGAATAGAAAAAGAATAGAGAATACTAGTGTTAGAGGCTCTATTTTTAAATAAAAAGAAAGCAAGTATTGTAAAGAGTGCAAGTGTTAAAGGATCAAGTGTTTTGAGTAGAACAGAAATAGAATAGAGAGTGCTAGTGTTAGAGGGTCAAGTATAGATGGAAGATGTGTTTTTATAAAAAAAATAAAATAAATAAAATAAAAACATATTTTAGTATGCGTGACAGTGTTATATATTTAAATAATAATTTATAACTTTTTAACTTTTTTAATTTATCTGGATGTTGTTGCTTTTGTAATGGACCTTAGAAATAACTAAATTAAAAATATCACAATTAATGGCTGGATTTAGAGAATGAATAAAGAATGTGTCCCTGGAACATAATTCAGGTCTAAACAGGTAAAAAACATTTGTCAAAAGATAGATTTGGCCCTGGCTTGTGTCTTTTCTTTTAAGATGACTGATAGTTTTAGAATAAGCGTTTGACATGAAACTTAATAAAAATGACATGGTCTGAGTCTCTCTTGCAACAGGTTTGTCAGGAGGGATAAATCAAATAGTTCCTTGTCTCTCTAATTATCTGGGCATGTTGTAGTAGTAAGTGATTTTGAAAGCAACAGGAGACGTAGACCTGACATAAAACGCAACGTCTTTCATCATCCTGCAAGACTCAAGCCTAAAGGTATAGCAATTACAACTAAAGCAATCTGCAAAGTGAAAGTGGCGTTCAAGAAGCCGAACAATTAGAAGAGAGACAGAGAGCGAGTCAGAGAGACTATACGGTTGAGGTGCTACTGTAGGTGAACATGTCATTTTTGTGTTTCCTTTAAGCCTAAATATGAATAAACAAAAGTTTAAAGCAAAGTTTAAACCTAAAATATAGAAATTAAGAACAATGCTGTAAAATAATATACATATTATATTATGTTCAAATATCTTTCTGATAATTTAAATAAATGCTCTCTGTCATATTGATATGAGAGAATGGCTAGAAAAATGATAACAGGTGCTCAACCAAACAAACATATAAATAATTAAACTAGTAAATAAAAAGTACTTTCCCATACCAGCTTACAATGGTACAATGGTAAAAATGGCAATAATCAAATAAGAAAAATCTTATATTATTATTATTATTATTATTATTATTATTAAAATTATAAATCAAATCTTAATTCATTTTTACTTTGGTTTGGTTTCTTCTCCTTTAGATCTAGACTAAAAAACAAAAATCAAAGCAAAAACAAAAATTCAACCAAGCTAACACACTCGTCTAACCAGTTACCAACTACCCCTTTCCTTGGTTTCCTTCTAAAAGCAAATGCATGGTTTCTATATGAACCATGTCCGCTTAATTAATATTGTGAAATATATCGGCGTTAATTGGAGCTCTCTTCATTAGCACACGGAGCTTAATAAGCAGAGGATGCAAATGAGTTTGAGCTGGCTGTGCGCAGTGGGCCACTGCTGGGGAACCGCTGTTCTCGAGCACTGACTTTACAAGACTACTAGCGAGACAAGAACAAAACCGACCTGTCAGGTGCGCACAGCACACACACGCATGCATGCACCTTGAGGTTTGTGTGATGTACGCAGCCAAACGGGTGTTCATGTGCCCTTCCCAGTGCCAGCAGAGTTGTTTAGAGAATTGCGTGTGCATGCTGAAGCCGTCATTATCTTCATAAGGGCAGGAGGAAGACATTTGCATTCAAATTGGACTCTAATTGCCCTGCAAAGTCAGGGACATTTTATAATCATATTTTTGCAAACAGTGCACGTCACAGTGCCTACTCTCCCTCACTCTGTTCCCTCGGATTTAGAATTTTTTACTTATTGTGGCATACTGCTCATACTATTTTAAAAGTGCACAGGTGTATAGTATGCACAGTATGCAAATGTTTACATGCATATGCATGAAACGCCCTGATGACTGCAAACGCTTCCAGAGCGAACGTTATGGAATATCTCACAATCCATTGTGTTCGACTTGACCTACCTTTAACAGTGTGACAATTGAACCAGATGATTTTAACATGCATTCTGACCTACTTGATGGGACGGGTGTTCATGTGCCCTTCCCAGTGCCAGCAGAGTTGTTTAGAGAATTGCGTGTGCATGCTGAAGCCGTCATTATCTTCATAAGGGCAGGAGGAAGACATTTGCATTCAAATTGGACTCTAATTGCCCTGCAAAGTCAGGGACATTTTATAATCATATTTTTGCAAACAGTGCACGTCACAGTGCCTACTCTCCCTCACTCTGTTCCCTCGGATTTAGAATTTTTTACTTATTGTGGCATACTGCTCATACTATTTTAAAAGTGCACAGGTGTATAGTATGCACAGTATGCAAATGTTTACATGCATATGCATGAAACGCCCTGATGACTGCAAACGCTTCCGTTTATGAATATTATGAATATTATGAACGTTATGGAATATCTCACAATCCATTGTGTTCGACTTGACCTACCTTTAACAGTGTGACAATTGAACCAGATGATTTTAACATGCATTCTGACCTACTTGATGGGACTGACTGTTAAAAGTTCAGACACTTAAACAGAATGGGATAACATGCAAACTGGCTGCATATACGGAGGTCATATAACAACAGGATACTAGTGTTTGAGACATTTATCATTACATATTGCATACGAAGGTGGAAAAATTGGATGAGAAAATAATTGACAGTACAGAAATTAGCTCACCTCGGGGCAGATATATGATGTTGTTATTGTATAAATATTCATGAATAAATGCACATAAATTCACAAATGCAAAACTGATACATAAATAAAATCAGATCCACAAATAAACATAATAAATCTCTGAAAAAATGTTTGTTTGTCTCTTTGAGATATGATTCCACGTGAGAATCTACAGCTATTCACTTGGGGAAAACCAGTTTAAAATTTTATAAATTGTATAGGGAAATAAATAAATAAATAAAATATGTACTACCGTTTTAAGAAATTACTACTTTTATTTAGCAAAGACACATTAAAATGATTAAAAGTGACATTTTAAATAAATGCCGCTCTTATGAACTTTTTATTAATAATAAAAAAAAGTCTATCACAGCTTCCACAAAAATATTACGCAGCACAACTGTTTTCAAAATAATAAAATAATAAATGTTATTTGGGCAGCGAATCAGCATATTAGAATTAATTCTGATGGATCTTGTGACACTGAAGACTGAAGAAATGAATATAAAATACAAAACAGTCATTTAATATTTCATAATATTGCTGTTTTTACTGTACTCGAATTTACTCAAATTTCAAATACTGACCAAGAACTTGAAAGGTAGTGTAGGTGGACTCCACCCACTGTCGACCTGAGCCAATCAGATTTTAGAACAAAATTTTGCTTCTTAAATAAATAGTTAGATAATATTCTGATGATATCACATCACACACGGTGTTGAACACCATTTAAACAGTATTTCAATATAAATTATAATATACTATTATTGGTTGGGTGTTCTTTCTGCTTTTAACCCAGAAACTGTAAGAAGAAATAAAAACATACTTTTTTTCCCCTCATACACTCTTAAAAATAAAGGTTCTTTATTGGCATCAGTGGTTCGATGAAGAACCTTGAACATCCATGGAACCTTTCAAATGCAGAAAAGGTTCTTTACAGTCAAAAAAGGTTCTTTAGATTTTTAAAATGTTCTTCAAAATGGTTCTTTTGGGAACTGTTCACTGAAAGGTTCTCTGGGGAACCAAAAATGGTTCTTCTATGGCACCACTGCAAAAACACCCTTTTGGAACCTTTATTTTTAAGAGTGTACTTCTATATAATAGCAGTCAGTATATAGAATACAGACTGTGTTTGATAGATTGGAATATAGCATCCTGCGCAGAACACGGCATATCTAATCTACCATCGGTGTGTTTCCTTTCTTCTGTGTTCAATGTTCCTTCTCTCAAAGGTGTGCTGAAACAGATGGTACAGACAAAGAGACGTCCCTAAGGGACAGACATCAGACGGGGGCTTTACAGACCGGTCCTACAGTTATCAATAAAGAGGCCGTCCCACCTGCCTCGCTCTTTTCCAGTTCATCTCTTCATCTGCATCCCATCAGCCTGATTTGGCATTGGCCGTCCTGCACCTGATAACACTCAAGAGCGTCCACTCTCTCTCTCCTCCACACACTGGCTCGTCTCTCTCTGTGGCTCCTTCTCCAATCCTGG